ACCCATCTTAAGTGGTTAGGGAAAAAAGGAACAGATGAGATAATACCAGTGGGAGTAAGAGACTCATTTGGAACAAAAAGATGTTTAATGAAATAGTGAGGATCAAATTTGAAGTTTACGAAAAGACTCAGGCCCCAGCTCAGGATTCCAGAGCAAGATGTCCCTATGAACTCATGTGGTGAAGTCCTGCACAGATGCAGGACTGAAAAACAGAAATCAACACTGTAACTGACCTGGCTTATGGAGATGGTCTATAATACAACCATCACAAAATCTGGGTGCACAGGATAACATCTGGAACATCCCCAAGGTAAAGGAAACCAGATAGAAAAGTCTTTCCATATATTCATAAGTGACTGTGTGCACTCAGCAGCCTTAATTGACACTTGTCACTTCTTCCTCTTCCTAGAGACCTTCTCTAGCGCCATGTTAAAAAGACCTCGAAAATGCCAGGTATTTACAAACCTCAACTGCTCTGGCAGCTGGTGCTGTCCTACTACTGCTGGCATAACTAGTTTCACCTGATGTCAGCTGTGTGCTGTTGCAGGGAGGAGAGAGAGCACGGACGGTGATAAGAGGCCTCCATAGGGTAAATCCTGTCTCCAACAGTGGAGGCTCAACCCTATCTGACTGGAAATGAAAGTAAGTGAAGTGACTTACACAGTTCTTGGGCAAAAAAGGTAATAGCTGAGGAGCTGAGAATGCCACTCCGGTCTGGCCAACAGGCTTGAGTAGCTAGCAAAACAGGACACTTGATGTTTAACTGAGTCAGCTAGAGGTGCAGTTCCCTGAATAATGGTGAGAACAGCTGTACAGACAGGCATATATGCCAAAGCCTGCTTACTGCAGGTAGTACATAGAAGCCCTGCATGAATGATCTGCAAATGTCTCACAGTGTGGCAGAACATAGATTGCATATAAAGAGAGCCCAGTAGTCTCTGGCTCTTCACTGATGGCAGCTCTGTCTGACTACTGCTCGTCACCACTACATCGTTGTTCTGATACTCACTGTACTGAATGAAAAGGAAGCACAAGGAACAGCTCTGTCATCGAACTGAACTCCTACTAATTGCAAGCACAGACCCTGCAGCAAAAGCCAGTTTCAGGTAGGAATGAGTCTGGTTTTGTACCAACTGATCCTCCTCCCTCCCCCCAGCCAGTCCCAAGACCAGCAGATGCCCAAAACATTGGGAATTAGTGACTCCTGTAAGAAGAGATAGCAATTCTAACCAGAAGATTAAGTTTCTAGAGAAAAATATAACAACTTAGGGACAGCATTCCACTGTTTCAACAGAACTAGGAGATCTAAGATTAAGTGCGACATCAATTCCTTCATGACCTCCCACACCTTTTTTAAATAAATCTTCATTCAATATTCTGTTCAATATTTTTTAAGAGATTAGGAGGAGGCTTCTCTGCTCATATCAGATGGTTATTCTCATCACCCTCTTGTGCATGTGGGTTCTAGCTGACTTTAGGTAACAGTATCTACAAATAATGCAATCATGTAAAACCTGCTAGTTAGTAAACTACCTATAAGACAACCCAGTCCAACCCAGCCTCTAGCAATACTGCATGTGTTTTAGGGGGATGGGGGGAAGGCAGGGTCTCTGTGCTCTACTTAAGGCTCTGCTTACCCAGCTGGGGCCTTGTGATGGTGGAGGAGAAGGGTACCATGCTCCACAAGAGCGTGAGCTCTCCTTAAATAAAGAAGATGTAAGAATTTTTGATGAGGGAAACACAGGTCGTGTTTCTCATTTAGAAAGAATTAGTGAGAAAAACAACTGACTAGCTGATTCTAGAGAAATGAAGAATGATTTATGAAGAAACTTCAGTGAGTAAAGATCTAGCTATTTCATTCAATATAGAAATGCTGAATATTGACATACTGAAAATAAGCTGATACTAGTTTCTTGCAAAGAGCTTGAATGTGGTATAGTGCCTATGTATGAATTAGGGTTCTTTCTTCAGCTCTGGGTTAGGATGATAAATTATATATACTACTGTGCTGCTATCATAGCTGTCAGGAGAAGATAAGGGTCTCCGATCTTGGGCTTTTCCATTTATTGGAACCTGAACAATGTGCATGCAGGAGAATCCTGTGTTGCTGTATCCTGAGGGCTTTTGACCTTCTGCAGAAGATCAGTTCTAGAACAGGATACTAATAGGGTGGAAGCTCAATTATTTTGTGTAGTATTTCCCTTTTACTAGCACAGAAGTGAAAGGCAGGGACCACTTGTAAAACTGTTCTCCTGAATCTAGTATTAAGACAACTACTGACAGCAATAGAGCAGGGATTAAGCTTCTTGGGTACCTTGGAGCAGCCCTAAATGGGACTGCAGCTAGTGGTGCCCTGGGTAATCATTGAGATATAACTTGTATTTGTTCTTCTTCTGCTCAGGTGATTTGTCCAAATATACTTCAGAAGAAAAAGATGTTCAAAACCTGCCGTACCACGGTGCTTAAGTGCTCTGAATTGTAGAGAGGTTACAGGTTCCCATTAGGCTTCTCTGCTTTTCAAATACAATGTAGCTTTTTGTGACAATTTATCCCACACTCCTGCTTATTCTGAACTAAATGAAACTGTCAGTCTCTGGTGGATTCTCAAATGGCTAATTAGTACTTACTGGGAAGCATACATGTGGGGTTAAGAGTCAGTGAATAATAGGTATCTGTTGGATTCTGCTCCATCAATAAAAGGATTTGACATACTTTTGCATAGCCAGACTGACATATTTCGTTGCGAGTCATGTCTTCCTTGCTGTGTTTCAGCAGGGCTGCTTGTCATGGTGATTAAAAGTGGCAGCACCTAGCTTGCAAAGATAGAATATTTTCTAAAATATTCTCTGGAAACATTGGTGGTCCAGAGTTGCAGAAACCAAATGCACAAGACAAAAATTACAGGTCACAAGAGTTGTAGTTTCACAAGAAACACCTCCAGCTATGCGAAGATAAAATGGAGTGCCTTAAGCTTGCAATAGTTCTGTCGTATCTTTTGATTTTAAAAATGTTTAGTCACTGTAAATGGGACATTAGCAAGAGTTTCTACTTACATAACTTGCTGCTGTTTTCTATCTTCTAGTTATGTTGTGAATGTTAAATTAAAATCTAGTGCATGGATGCCTCGTATTTCATTTGGGGACTACTCTCTGCAGTAGAAAACCATACAGGCTCAGTTAACTCTCTCAGATCCATCTGAGAAGAAACAATATACTCACAATAGTGTATGCTCAAAAGTCCTTGTCTTGAAGAACTTACCTTTTATGCAATAAAGGGTCAAGTCAAGCTGTAGATCCATGTTTCAAACACCTATAATTTGGGGTAATCTATGGGGCTTTATAAGTTTTTTAAATAGGTAAATAGCAAAGCTTAATGTGGCTCTAGAGTACTCTTATCCATCTCCTCCATTCTCATTCTTTGGGTGTGAATAGCTCCAGATCTAGAAAACTGTACTGAAACTCTCCAGCTAAGTCTCTATTCTCTACTGTAGTTATGAATTTTAAGACTATTCTTGTCCCAGTCCGGCTTTCCCTCACCCCACCTTCCCTCTCTGTTTTCAAACAGCTCAGGTTAGAACTGGAAGTAACCTCATCTCTGTTGCCAGCATGGCTAGCAATGTAAATTAGGCTGTGTTTGTTGAATGCGATTTTGCAGATTCAGTTCGTCCAGCCAATTCACTTTAGCACTAAAAATCCTGTTCTCCTTCTCTTTAAAACCTTCTTTGCTTTTCTGATCACTGAGCAAATCCACAATGATCTAGAAAGTCACCAAATATTTAACTTGCATATACGCTTGCATATATCTTCCGTGATGGGTAAGCATTAAAATATCTTCTACTCGTCTAAAAAGAAACAGGAATTAAAACAATTTAAAAACTTATTTTCTATGTTGATCCACTTGTTTAAGTGGGGTTTTACCATATAACAAATTTTGCAAGTATGGAAAAGGTATTTAACCTAGAGCTGCAAGTTACTTTACCACTTATGTTTAAATTTTATTTGTGGGTTTAGCCCAGCTCTTCTTTCCAAGGATTTAAACCTCATAATGACTATATGAGTAAATATGTTGGAATATTCATAGCATCCCAGGCAGGCTATCTGCACAGGGCACTGGGGAAGATGATACACAAAACAGGGAATGCCAGCTTGCAAAATGAGTTGCTCTGTGACCTAAACTAGCTGACAGCTACCAGTGAGGATGTGAAACGAAAATATGATTTAAGCCCTGCATGTCTGGGATTGGGTGCCTCAAACTGGGCTGCAGGGGCATGAGAATTAATAAGCCTGAAATTCAGACACCTTATCTTAAAATATACCGGAGGAGAAGGTAAGTCCTCTTATTGGTGAACCACTGAAAGACAACTTTTCAACAAGCAGCTGTGTTCAATAATTCAATGGCCTTAGGATGTGGAGAGTCCTTCAATCCCCACTTGAGGTTTGACCTCTGTCTTTCATGTTCTTGCCTTATCTCTAATTACCAAAGTTTACAGGCGGTTAATGCCATTTTAAACTGTTTCATGTGAAAATGTTTCTTCATTTAGCAATACGTAAACAACTTTGTGAACTATGAAAATATGATGATGTTGCTAAACACTGCATACAACTTTTCTAGGTGAAAAAAGGGTTTAAAAAATGCTTTCTTCGGTAGATTAAAAAAAAAAATCTACCCCTTGCTAATTACAGCAAAGCATAGCACTTCAAAAGCTTCCCTGTCCTTTCCTGGTGATGTGCCTAGAACTTAGTTTGACTGCTGATGGCTTGTATTTCACTCATCCTGAGTCTTTGGCAGTTTCCAAGAGGAGGCACTATTCAAACCATCTAGAATTTGCTGTGACTAACAGCTGTGGGATGGGTGGTACAAAAGCTTTCACAAATACACATGATTTCATAGAGCAGACATGAATACATGTTTTAATGGAGAAGTGATTTTTAATCTTAACAAAGTCAGTGATATTAAAAACAAATTTGAAACCTTCTGAAGCAGTAGACACAGCATATGGCAGACCTGTTTAAGTTATGCACATTAACAGTAGCCTTTGAATTTAAAATAGATCCAATAATTAAGGGGAAAACATTCCAAAGCTGCATGCTGAAGGTTCTTCTTTGTAATTCGAAATACTTCGTATGTAGTGACACAAAAATTAATTTCTAATTGATAATGTAGCTCATGAATAGCTCTTGTATATGGCATTTGGATTATTTTCATCTCAGTTCCTCCAGAGCAGCATGCACTTCCCATGAATGTCATTGCTGAGAGATGGGTTGGTTGAACGCTTGCCTCAGAACTTCAGCCCTGGTTTTCGGCTCCATGTTTTGGCTCCTACTTTCTTCAATGACTTCTATAAAAGACCCTTTCACAAGTGCATCCCCCACAACTCATCTATCTCTGTACCATGAGCTAATGCTTATGGTGTCATGTATATGCTTGGTTTGCCCCTATTCAAGTTCATTGTCTTACTGAGGGATGGGAGGAAAGGGATGACGGGGGTGGGTAGAGGGATGGACAGGGCAATAAACCTCCTAAGATGAACTGACACACTGCAAGTGAGAGACAACACTCAGTCTATACATGAGGGCTAGTTTTATAATTACAGTGCATTGCCTCTCCTTCCTACTCCCATATATAACTGGTTACAGACACGACTGGTTATAACCTGTGATAGCTCTTCACTGCTACCATTTTGTTTCCCTGTCACGCTTTCACTAGAGAGTCCACCTGTCTTGTTGCAGGTGTCAGGTGCGATGGGGTAATTCAACACAACTTCTTATGGCTGAGAAACCTTAGAGAGGGCAATGACATCTCAACCAGCTGAAAACCCCTCATGCTGTTTTACACAAGTGTCCAGCCTCAGAAGAGCACCAGCTTCCGCCAGTTAGGCTTTCTCAGCAGTGGGGAATACAGGAGCGGCTTAGGAATGGTCCTTGGCATGACACGTGTCACTGAGCTGCCAAAATCCACAGAGTTAAACATTTCGCCCTTCTGCTGCTGTAAGCCATAGGTTGGGTTTCTATCATGCTATCTTGAAGCCAAGGAACTACACTCAGTAGGAAAAGGAAATCTTGTTATTCTGGAAAGTATCAAGCTTCCTGAAAAGACTGTCTCTCTGCCTCCATGCTAGCTGCTGAAGAACTAATACCAATGTCTCCAGTGCCTGACAAAGATGTAGAAATTAAAATCATCTCCTCCCCTCATTCATATATTTCCCGTAGAGAAAAAAACAAGGAAATTACAACTTCATGGTGTTAATTAATATAAACAAGATGCAAAGAGGGCAAAGCCCAGTCAGCCACAGATAGCAGTGCTCTCAGGTTGATTTCCAACAGGCTAGAGACACAAAGCAGGGAACTCCTGAGTGCATATATTATTTTTTATACAATTACTAGTTTAATTAACTTAATTTGACAAACCAGGCTGTAGAATGAGAAAGTAAACAAAGCCAGACAAGAAAGTCAAGCCTATCAGCTTTTTGGTGAAGAGATAAGATCCCAAAGAGGCATAACTCCCAATGAGATATTTTTGAGCTTCATGCCTTTAACCCTTGACGTTCTTGGATAATTCAACAGTGCCTGTAGGGAGGCAGCCTGGTAATTTCACAAGTAGTTCTAAACTGCTTACACCATTCCTTAGGTAATCCTGGGGAAATTACACCATACCTAAATAGGATAGCACTTGGATGTCTTTTCCTTCGCTGCTGAACACCAAGAAGACATTAATATTCTTTCTAATTTCACACAACTTACAGGATTTCAGCATCTTTTAGTCTACTGCCTCTACTGACTTTTTCAAATTGATCAATGGTTTCAAAAGACTGGAGGGGGTTAGGAGAGCAGGGAGCAGAGAAATATATACAAAATATGATGGAAATAAGCCTGGGAAAAGCCTGCCCCATCTGATTATATCAGAACATGGTACGAATGAGCTCATTTGTAGCCTGCTCTTGAAACAGGGAGTGTGATAATGATTTTTGAAGGGTAGCTCTCATTAAAGTGGGCAGGGTACCTTTGATGTGTCTGTGGCTGCTCCCTGGGACTTTCAGTAACACAGAGGCCCAATTCTGTTGATTTAGAGGGAAATTAGGTTCAAAGGACCAGATCGGTAGGAGGAGTTAGCAATGCTCTTGCCCCACAATGAGATTGCTGAGTATGGGGAGGCATATTTGCTTGACACAACCACAAAAGCCAGTGCTCCAAGTGGCAAACAGGCGAGGTTCACTCCTACCAGCTGCAAATCAGTTTTACAAAAAGCTTCATGCAGCAGGTGGAGTTTACTGGAAAATTTTGTATGATGTCAGGCAAATGTGCAACTTGATATTTTTGCTGGCAGAAAGAAGTTTAAGGGAGGAGAGGCTGATCTCCACTTTGTAAAGGCTCACTGATTTCCGTATGCTTTTTTGAGGTAGGAATGTCTGCTGCGACTCTTGAGCAACCTTTTCTCCAGGGGAAGAGGTGGGAATGCAACTACTATTTTTATGAGAAAGGAAAAAGATGATGGGCAGTGGGAGGGATGGAGGCAAAAATTCGAGTTATATTTCTTTATGCAGAAGTGGCAGCGACAGCAATTTCCTAGACTTCATTCCAAGCGTACTATTTCTTTCTCTGTGCTCTTCTCATTTGGTGGGCAGATTGACGGATGCATTGTACAGTTCTGTCCAAATTGGCATTTTTTCCAGCTGCAGGTGTAGAGTTTTCAGCTTATATCTGTACTCTGCTTAATCTTAGACAGCTAATTATAACTCACTATTGCTACCTTAACAAGTAAGATTTGCTCAGGTAAAACTATATAGACCATCTGCTGTTCAGTTGGTATAAAAAATACTGCTTCCCCAGTCTATCAGCTGGGAAGCACTCACCATATTCCTCCGAGTAATGGCCTTACACTGGGATCTGCCCTCACCTACCCCAGATGATCTGCCATTCCCCAAATATAATTTGATTTTTGATACAAACCAAAATTTTGATACATTTGATACAAATACAGCACTTTTCCTCTTTGGAGTACAAGCAGTGAACTTATCTAAAGCAATGCATTGCACAATGTAGTCTTTGGTGACTGCTGTGAGTTGTCATTTTCAAGGTCTGGGAGATACACCTGACCCGAACTGAATTTAGATTAAATGCTGTTTTGTTTTCATTGTCTGATTTAAAATTTAGCGGATTTTGGTCTGAAAACCTGGTTTTTCATTTCTGCTCAAATTCTAATTTACATTTTCATGTGGTCCATAACTGCATTGTCTTTTAATATCATCCTACTTTTGACCATAGAGAGTAGCTTAAATCTCATTAAGCATCTCTCCATCTCTAAACTTTCGAAGTACATTGTATTTGCTAGATGCCCTATGAGTCCTTCCAACAGTTATGTGGAATAGCTTCACATAGTGAAGCTGTGATTCCTTCTAGTAAAATCTGTGTTCTTCACTCTAAAGATATCTCACCTTTTCCTGCCTCTCCCCATCACCTCCTTTCCTATCTCTGTTAATCTCTGCTTTTAAGATACGCAAAACCTTCTGAGCAGTAGAGGCCTGGCCCCAATGAAATCTCCTAGTTGATTTTAATACTGAATAAGTATGATCCTAAATGGGACCTCCATTTCCAAAGTCCAAGGCTCACTGTCCTCTGATAACACACTTGCTGGCTAACACATTTGATATCTACTTGAAGGAAATATCACAAAATAAGGATACAAACTCCACAGCACATCTAGGAGTGTTTACAAGAGATGGCATTTGGGAATAGTCTTAGGAGCCTTCATAAACAGCATTACCGCTGTAAAATGCAGAACACCTGAGTCTTTCACTTACCTACTGAAAGTCTCTCAGTACCTGTGAACATCCGGAATGAAATTCCAGCAGGCAAGGAAGATATAGCATTCTGCTCTACCTCAGCTCAGACATAAACCCTGATCCATCCCTGCAGCAGCGCGAGAGTCCTTGGATTTGAATATATACAAGAAACAACAACTAAAACCCCTACAGGGAAAGTTAATAGGTTCACCAAATTTAGAGCTGTGCCACTTTATAAAATCAAAGTGTGTAATGATTTCTTAAATTGTAATTAAAAATTATACCGCCCAAAATACAGTAGTGATGAGTCCTAGTCCCTCAGAGAACTACATTTGTTCCCCAGAGAATGGTGGAGGCAGCAAACACATTTCACATGAAGGCTTTTAATATAATTATTTGCATAACTGGATTAAAGAAGTGCACCAACATGTTTCTAAATCTTATTATTGTTTATTACTCTGGATATCAGAGAAAACAGTAATTATATTTAACCGAGCTTCTTGGGGCTAGACTCAGGAGCAGGGCTGAGTGAATGCAGTAGTGCCTCAGCCCTCCGTACCCTGCCCCTCCATAGGCCCGCAGCCCTTGTGCTTGTGGCCAGACCTCTTTTGTGCAGCATGCAGGGAAAGCCTGCCAAAAAGGCCCTGCCACTGAGGCAGCAGTCACTGAGCCGGGCCAGTGGGACTGCTGAAGAAAGAGGGAGCTTCAGGACCCCATGAAGGTGGCATACACATGTTTCTGGAGTGTATCTACGAAACCGAGACCCGCAACCGAGTGACTGAGAAGGTCCTCAGGCAAGGGGCAGGCTCTGAGCTTTCTAGTTCAAAATGCAATGTTAACAGCAAAGCCCTGGATGGAAACCCAAGTCCTGACCAATTCAAGGCATGTGCATGTTTAACCAGCACTTAAATAAGAGTGCTGGGAACACCCATGGTGCCTGCAGTGTTGGACATTCCTGACTATCTCCTGCTGGTGATTACAGACCCGGCGCTTCTGCAGCTGCAGCTCCAGAGATGTCTATAGCCACAACTTCCTAGTGAGTTCCTGAGTAAGGTACTCTGGTACCCAGGGACAACATATGCACCGAAAAACGATTCATTTCTGTCATGAAAGAAAAGATAAATCCAAACTCTTATTTGCTTTATACAGCTCTTTGCAGCAGATCACTAACGATCAAGAGAACATTAACAAACCAAACTGTAGTGCCTGCAAATGAGGGTAAAAACATGATGTATAAGAAGGAAGCGATCCAAGGCCTGCTGCGGTTAACAGTCATTATAGTTGCTCCACTGGGCTTTGGATCACTTTGTATTAAGGCGCTGTCCGTATTTAGTGCTTGAAGTTGTAAACGTTATGACACATGAGTGTCATCTCAGCGCTAATTAGCCTTTACAAACTGACAGATTAACAGCTTGAATAACATGATTCTATTGGAGAAAAATCTTTAAAAATCAGGATTTTGTTGTGTTATTTGAAGCTACTTTTTACAAGATAGTTTCGGTGCTCTCTCTTGATGTTTTACTTTCCGTTCTGTTCAAAAAAGTCCTGAAATTTATTGAGTTGAAATGAATCAAGTTTTAGAAACTCTTGTTTGGAGGGTTTTTTTGCCTTTTTGAAAACTCCAGTTATTCCAGTAACTTACTATGTTGGGCTTGAAGAAAAAAATAAATGTTGGAGTTCCTAAAATTCAACAAAAGCAAAACATCTTTTAATAAGTCATTGAAATCTTTAAATCAAGGTAAGCAAGGCAGATAGGTACATTTAATTACAGTGAGAATGCAAGTAATGTCCGCTTTAAAAGGCCTTCCTTGATTCAGCGTCCATAATCAGCTTCTAATAGTCAGTTCTTAATTATAAGCAACAGAGCAGCTTGAAATTCTAAGCAAATTTGTGGAAAGGGATTTCAAATGTTTTCACAATGCTTTTCCTTGTGTGTGCATATGCACGTGTGTATTTGCTTTAACCTGATCAGTTTACCAAATGTTGATGAGCAAAATAACATTCACACTTCCACAGTAGGAGTAGATCTACAAGCTAAAGTAACTTTAATCTTTTTCTTCCCTCTTTTCTTTCCCACTTTTCTATTTGAATTGCCCAGAAGCATATACATTTCTGGCCATGTATAGTTACAGTAGGATAGCTGCCCTTGCAGATTAAAGCTGAAATTGCCCCTTGATTGTGCTGCTTCTATGGATAATCTCAGTTTAATATCTAATAGTTCCTTGCGTCATTAAAGATTCTAAATGAGCAGGCTACAAGAAACCTCTTCAGCAAAAATGTCCGTTTTCAGAGCTTTTTCACTCACACTGGTCCATTATCTCAGATATTTTCGGCTCAGACAGAAGAGGGAAGAAATTAGAAACCATTGGGTTTATTATAGCTTTTAACTCCCTCACTCTATTGAAAGGTAGATGTCCAAGGAAATTTCTTCCCAACAAACTCCTCCAAAAGAGAGCACTTGGCTCTCCCTTCTATTTGACAGGCCTTTCTTTTATTGGTCACACAATACTTATACACAGGTCAACGTCAACAGCACCTTTCACCCGCTATCTCTTAACAGACACATCCAGACGTGTTCCAGAAGACTAAACAGTAACAAAGTCTCTGGCTGTTCTTGGAGAGCAAAACCGATGGGAGCATTGCCACGCATCAGAATCAGTTCCTCGAGGAATGAGCAGAAAGTACCCTGACACTGACAAGGCTATGACAAACTCCACTCCACTAGCTGGGAACGCAGCCACCTTACAGTAGAGTCAGCAAATTAGGTTTACATGAGACAGTGATAAGAACATGATTCGGTGTCAGTGTTAATGGCCATCTGTAAAATGGTGGTATGCCTTGATGTTCTCCTATTTGGATGAGTTTCCATCACACATCATTGTCTCCTGTCCATGCTTCCTTGCTGGCAGCATCAGCAAGTCTACCAGGTGAGTTTGTAAATAAGCAGTCAATCACTCTGCATCACAGTTATACTTCACATAAATAACTTCACTCCAGCTTTATCTACGCTCTCCTATTATTGCAGCTTGCTTTACTACATGCTGTGTTGCAGGGTTGTGAGACGCAGCAGGTTTGGCATCACATGACAATGCTGAGCTCAGAAAGCATGAAGCAAAGATTCCTGCCTAACGCTGCTGGCCACAGAGGACAGACGAGCAGCCCTGCTGCAAATGCTACTGTTCCAGCTGCTTGGCCAACTGCAAGGAGAACATGGTAGTGAGGAAGGATACCATATGGTGTGGGCACAGCACCCCCCCACCAATGGCCTCAGAGTCTTCATCTATTCATGGACCCCAGGCACGCAACCGTGCCAGTCACCTTGTAGAGAGGTGCTTGGAGGGAGTGTGTGACCGGCAGCCATCGCCCTGGGCAGCTATCAGGAATGATGACCTCTGCACACTGCTGCTGCCAGCACAATTCAGCTAGCAGGAGTAGGCTCAAAGCAGCTCCTGCCAACCTTGCTTCCTGCCCACAGCTGGGTCAGCTCCTCAGGAAGTGCATTTAAGAGAGCATTAGGCTATTCTTACAGCATGGCCCTAATGGAAGAGGTCCCCACAGGAACACTGCTAGTCCTCTACCCTGGATCTTGTGGTAAGGACCGGACTCTGGTAGATGCACAGATTTCATTTCTAACCAGTTGAAAGCATTTCCTCAATGAGGCATCTAGGTGTTACATTCATCCTCGCTCCTCCATGTGCCCATGTCTATGCTGCCAGCAACATCCAAAACAGATGGGAAGGATTCCTGTATGTAAGGGGATCTGATTGTCCTAAAATCTCCTTGGCCTCTAACTTTCATCAAAAAGGCAAAGACATTTCTGGGACATGACCTCTGCCATTCCTTCCCCAGCAGGGGGTGAAGCTGCTGGGGAAGCTATGCATGGGACTTTATCTGGTATGCCTGCCTGAGCCCTAAGGACAAATGTCTGGCACAAGCCCTGATCATTAGTAAAAGTGGAAATGACTTACAGTGCTACCACATGGAAGAAGTGCACTCCCACCAGCTCTCACAGCACTACACTGGCCATAATGCAGTTTGTAGTGGGTCTAATTTTCTTCCTTTTCCAAGCAAACATTTTCTTCAGCTCCCCCCTGAAGCTGTCATGAAGCCAGGCATACAGGAAGGCATTTGTACAAGCAGACATCATTGCAAACCAGTGACATAGCAGTTGGATGAAGTTGAAGTACTGCTTGTCAATCAGGCTGATATCTATGTCCTTTATCATGTTGAAGATATGCAGAGGCAGCCAACAGACTCCAAAGGCTGCCACCACTAAGACGAGCAAGCGAAAAGTCTTTCTCCTCCTTGCTCGGTCCCACTCGGCTTGGCCTTGGGTGACATTGCCTGGAACCACTCGGTTTTTCAGCTTGACTGAGATTCTCAGGTAGGACAGGGAGATGACAGCCAAAGGCAGTACATATGTGATAATGAGAGTGCTGTAGGCATAAGCTAAGCGATCTCGTTTCATGTGGAACCAAAACTCCTCGCAGATGGAGAAGTCCAGTTCTGGGAATTCTGCGTGGTAAGTGTGGACCAAGGCTGGGGCAGCCAAGGTACAACTCAGCAGCCAAATAGCAGCCAGGATATAAGCACAAATAGGGATTGTGAGCCTCCTTCGAAAAGGGTGCACCATGGCATAATACCTATCCACAGCTATTACAGTCAAAGTAAAGACAGAGACACACACAGTGACAGGTTGCATCAGGAAAACAAAGTAACACATGAAACGCCCATACACCCATCCTCTGGGCTCAAAGGCATATGCAAGGGTAAGGGGCACACAGGTTGCACACATGAGCATGTCTGAGAAAGCCAAATTGCCTACCAGAAAGTTGGTGACGTTGTGCATTTTTTTTGTCTTGCAGATAACATAGATGAGAAGATAATTCCCAATGATGCCAATAAAAACCACTAGGGAGTAGCAGGGGATGAGGAGTGGCTTGAAGGACTGAACAAACTGGAGCCCCGAGAATAGAGTGCTGGCATTGCTATGAAACGCAGAGAAGAAGCTCTGGGAGGTTAAATTGTCCGAATTCATCATTTCCCTTGTTTTGTAGTCCATCCTCAGCTGAGTGTAGTAGCTATCACTGCACTAGGCTTGCACTTGATCAGTGCGGGTAACGAATGGATTACTGGATGTCCAGAGGTTACCACATGGATAGTAAACAAGCATCTGTAAAAGCAAAAGGTGAAGTTGTAATCCTCAAGAGGCAGCTTTCAGCAATTCCTAAGAAAAATCAAATACAACCAAGTCCTTCTGTTTTTACTATTAAATCTAGCTTTTGACAGCATGCCATTTAAAAAACATTTAATGCAGTGAGTACTTACTGCTGTGGTTTTTTAGTCCCATAAGATTTTTTCCTTTGGCTGGCAAGAAGTGCCCTGGATGTCTGTCTTCTGCAAATCCAGGAGCCTTTGTGTGTGTGTGAGGGAGCGGGAGAGAGAGAGAACGTATGTGTGAGAAAGAGGCTGATGCGCATTTACAAGCTAAGTGGAGATCAGTGTTTTTAAACAGTCTTCACTACTAGGTCATGACAGATTTGTGTATAAGCTTTTATCCCTATTGGTTGTCCTGGGTATTACGTTGCTCTTTGCGTGTTTCTTACTGAAAGTAATTAGTTCTTGAATATCCTTTCAAGAATTCCCTTCTCCTTGTAGTGCATCTGTAATTGCCCCACTCAGCTATAAATCAATTTATAGTCATTAATGTGACCCTGCTCTGCATGTAATCCAAGATTCACTTTGCCACAGTCCTTTTCAGTGTGTGAAAAGACTACCTGTGAATTTGCTGTTATAATGTGCCTGCAAAATGGAATTTTAACAAAATACTGAAGCAAAATAAATTTTTATGCCACTAGAGGGACTCAGCTACTTACTTGGTGAATGAAGTCCTGATTAGAAATGCACATTGAGCATGTAGCAAAAAGAAGCTCATTTTACTTAAATGTATTTTCTAATGGTAGTACAATGTTTGCTCACCCACTGCCAGTCTTTTCAGTGGGGTTTAAATGCCGTTAACTGTAAAAACATATGATAACTTAAGGATCAGAAAAGAAAGATAAGCATCCAAATAGCTTAGCCGTAAGAGCTCATCTGCAGCGAACTTTCCTTGTCTGGTTCAGGCATTAGAAAGCAAGGGATCAGGACAGCTGCTTTCTGAGCACACATTAAAGCAAACTTCACCCTCAGGCTCTTAAATGTTGCCTTAATTCTCCTTTAACTCTCCTCCATTTCAACCACTTCTGGGACCAGGACTTCTGCTGATGAAAAATCAGTCCAATTCTATTTCATCCATTTATACCAGCTAAGATCATTACGAAGAAAAAAAAAACTAACAACTTATGAGCACTTCAGCGCAGAGAACGTTGCTCATTTTTTCAAGGCGCACTGGATTTAGAAACAATATCAGTGGACAGTTTATGTTCTAATCTCCTAGACTACTCCAACGAAATATTTACCTATTATTTTCTATGAGGCTGGGGACAGACCCACTTCCTTCTTTTAACTCGATCGGGAGAGTGACTGACACAAAACAAAGATTTAAGCAGATTTCAGATGGTTCATAATCCTTTCCCTAATCTGAAAACAGAAATTAATCTGGTGGAGCCTTTGTTCAGACCTGTGCTGTTCTCCCACAACTATACGTGACGGATGGGCATTTCAGACCTAATCAGTGCTGACTCTGTGCCACGCATTTATGATTAGGATATGCTATGGACTGGACTGTGGCTGTAGTTCCAGTTGGAGGGAAGAGCAAGCGTGTAGCTGCAGTGCTCACATGTGCCATTCCTCAGTTCGTGAATGTAGTAACCTACCCATATCTCATATGAAATACAGGATCTTATATCCCAATTCAGTGTCCAGCCTCACCTATCTGATTCAGATGGGGTGCAGGAGAGTATAGTACCTATTCATCTCTACACAACTAAATCCAGAATATCAGAGGGACCCAAGGGTGGAGGTTGCACAGAGGTCATGAAACAGGGGATTCCTACTTCTTTCATCTCCTAGTGTGATCACGTTCTTTGGTCTTGAGCAGTGTTCTGCATAATTATTTCCTAACAACACCCATAAATGCAATTGTTTCACTTAGTCTGGGAGAAAACTACGGTCTGGTCTAAA